CGGTGTGCTCTTTTTTTATTCCGACCACTGTCTCCCGGCATCGGGACGCTTTTTATAGAATGTGGGAACCCAGCGCGACTTTTAACGCGCGTCGACATTAGAATGCGGAGTGAACGCAGCATCGCTCTTCTGAGACGCGGCTCTCCGTTACATAACATCAACACCGCGGCGCAGGCCGTAAAGAATTACCGAAATCCGTTCTGCTTGTGAATCTACAAATTCAGCAAAATAATCCGACGAATGGCGATTAATACTCTTAACAAATCGTTTTGCTATGCGGAGTAAATTCCGTGAGCAAAATCGCCTAAGTGAGATATCACTTCTCATCACCAAGTTTTCATCCAGTCCCTGTTCAATTGCAGGAACCGACATGTTTTCGTGTGACAAACAATTGTCAAGATCGCTTCAAAGCGTCGATACGAGAGACGACAAGCGCGTTATAAATTCCGCACTGAGAAGAAGAGGGCTTAAAAATGTATCCGTGAAACAAGGCTGATCTCACCGAAATAAACCGTTTGTTCAAATACGGCGGAAGAAAGTTTTATTCCTAGTAAAGCAATTAATAGGAAAACCGAAGTACATTTTACAGAAATGTATATTCCGTCGTGACAATTAAATTTTCTCGCCGATAAATATCGAAGAAAAAAAAGGTACCACGAGAAACGTTTAAGCTCGCGAAATTTCAATTCCTTTTTCTCCGTGTGCTGTTAGAATTTCCACGAGACGCGAGAGCTGGGCGGTGCACGTGAATTACGTCCTTTGAAACGTATGACACGCATATTGTTATTGGCTTGAGCAACCGTTACATTCTCAACAACTTTGGATTGCAAGTGCGCGCGCTAAAGAGCGGACGACGTGTCACGCGTCCGTCGTCATGATCGTCATGATCATCGCCGAAGACGCGCGCCTGTGTAATTACCTAATTTGCACGCGTGCGGCACGCTTCGGCGTATGGCGTCGACGGTATCTGTCTACGGTGCTCTATCGGCCACGCACGCGTCTCGGATAACGCTCAATACTAGAGCGGCGTATATATAGGGGTGTCCCGTGCGCCCCATCGTCGTACCCCTCGCGCAACGTACTTTCAAGGCAACGGACGAGAACGAAACGCCATGTGGCGGCGCAACACACCACTTTCCACGGGTCTACGCGCGCCGCACGATGACATTCGCAACGGCGAGCGAAAGATAACGTCTCGATCGGAGAGGCCGCATGATCGCCGGCCGCGAAAGAGCGCTTTTCGCAACAGGAGAATTAACTTCCACCAGCTAAAAACTACCACCCGCACACGGAGAAAAAAAATTTCGCCGTCCTAGAGAAACCGTCTTCGCTGCTGCATATTACTTGTGACGGCGATCAAATTTCACTGGCGTAACCAAATCAGCGAATTATTCGTAATTAGGGCGGAAACAGTTTTGGGTAGAAAATATTCTGCCGAGTGAACTGGTCCTTAGGACGAGTTAATTTTGCGGTTAGAAGAAATTGTGTTTTCCTATATTTACCAGTTTATTCTTACAGCCAAGGAATTTGCAGAGTCAGCATAATAATCCAGCAAATGGCAATTAGTATTCTTAACAGATCGTCTTGCCGTTCGTGTAGTAACTGGCAGATTTTGTTGCGACAGCTTAGAATTTGCTGTGTCAGCAAGTTATTTTTCTCCGTGCATACGTCAAAATTAGCTGCCTATATGATACAACTGAAATTAGTTAATGCTAATCTCTTTGTTCCTGTACATAGTTTTTAGCCATGGAAACTCTGGTAACTCAGTTTCAATTATATTATGTGAACAGCTAATTCCTTTCTTCCGTGCGCTGTGAATCGACTTTCACGAAATGAAACACCTCTTTTAATCCCGCTATAAAGCGGCTTTGTCTAACTAAGCTCCCTGCTCCGAATGCAAATGCCGTATTATTTCAACCGAATTATATTTTGATCAGTTAGTTCGAGTTCCTTGGTTTAACCATTTATCCTGAGGATAAATTCATTCAGCCGAATTTCTCCATCCTGGCAAAATTATTTTTGCCCTAATCACGGATAATTCGCTAATTTGATTACGTCACCTATTAAAATTATTCTTCTCCGTGTAAAAAAAAAAACGACGAAAACACGAACATTCGTTATCCTGAAATGTCGAGTTTGAATGCGTCTAGTTAGTTTATTACCGTAGGTATGTACATTGGCACACACACACACACACACACACACACGCACACGCACGCACGCAATGTGTACAATTATTATCTTCTCTTATCGTCGTATCGTCGATAGAAAATTTATAGACCCGTAAACTTTCTTTCTCCTGTCACGTCGTTTTTTGCGGACGTTGATAGAAAATTTATAGACCCGTAAACTTTCTCCCGTCACGTCGCTTTTTGCGGACTTTCTCTCTCATCGTGACATTGAACGTGATCATCGTCGCGTTACGTAAGTAAAACGTAGTCTCGGACAATGACCTTACCGGCTAAACGCTAAGGAGCTAAAGTGAGACGGATATACGGACGCCCGGTCTTTCGCGCGAGACAGCTGTATCCTTAACGGTCTCTCGATGTGTTGACGACCAACGAGGGTAAGGTCAGTATCGGTGCGTGCAAAGTGTACTCAAGTTTAACCGGACATTAAAGCATTTATTCGCACCACGGAATTCTCGTTCATTAACGCACGCGGATTAAACTGAACTGAACCACAAACCGAAAAAAATTATTTAGTTGATTCGAACAAAATTTGGTTAAAATGTGCTCAAACAAATGTTTTGGTTGCGAGAATCAAAATTTAATTTTCTGAACCAAAGGTTCAGATCTCTGAAACGAAAATGAAAAAAGTTTGGTTCCAGAGAACTAAATCTCTGGTTCCGAGAACCAAACTTTGGTTCTCACAACCAAAAGATTTGTTTGAGCTTTTATCCTAATCAAATTTTGTTTGAGTCAACTAGTCCAGTATTTTCAGGATTTTTCAGTACAATGAAGCTGTGCCCGCATACACAATTTTGAAAATTACACGTATAGAAATATACGACAAATTTTACCACGTTAATATTTCGTTAATCGCCCGCAATTAATTTCGAATGTTTAGTTTCCAAAGCTGCAAAAATTTTTTTCTCCTTGAACAGATTTTCAAATGTAGCAGCATCAGAGATGCTGGTTTAGAATATTTGCCGCGCCGATCGATCACGAAGAAAGAGGGGGGAAGGGAGAGAGAGAGAGAGAGAAGAACCGTGTGTGTCCACGAGGAGATGATTAGCGATATTTTCGCATGCATCGATACTCGTCGAAGGGAACCCTGGGTATCGATATATCCCAATAGCGCTTAAGTACCGTAAGCATCCCCGAAGCACACACGGGTTGCCGCTGACGCGGCCGACGCGACCGTTCGTCGCATTGCGAACCTCCGTGGGGCTTTTACCGAAGGTATGAATAAAAGGGGGCGCCAAACTAACCAGCCACCCAACAAGGAGCAGGTGAGCACCTGGTCGTCCTGGCACGAGCTACTTGCCTCACGGTTGAAGGAAGAGGTGCTCATGTCGCGCACGGTCGACATTAACTCAATTATCTCGCAGTTCCCGCAGTAATCTCCTTCGCACGTCCGATGTTACTTATCAAGAAAGACAGGAAACTCGTTTTTTTTATCAATACGTTGCTCGTGTCGAAAAACAATCCCGAAGGTACAGCGATATTAGGAAAAAAATCAGTTTTAGAAAGAGATTACAATTTAATCGGCGTTCGATAGATCGATATGTGTATTTGACCTGATATTTGTGGGGAATGTGAATAACAGTTTGGGAAAAAAAGAGTTAACTATTTTTTTTTGTATTTGAAGAGAAGAATTAAGGAGAGAATTTTTTATCCGAATTCATTACTCGGTTTCGCGACGCTTAGTTAACGCATGCTTGGACCATCGAATGTACGGATCGAATATAATAGAAGATTTGAATAATAGGGCGCATTATATGCAGCGGGTTGCTAACAGACCGTAGGGTTTAAACGGCTTAACAGCCAACCGTGCGCAACAACTCGAACGGGAATAGTCTTTGTATCTCGTGGAAAAAAGCGGCGATCCCCCTACAATTAGCGGGGGATTAAAAATTGTCCGAAAATTTTACGCTTCCGATAATATTTCTTTGCAAGTAGACGCTTCAGTTAATTAAAGAAAATACCTAAATCGATCATAGAGATAACATAAATACTTATATTGTAACGGTAATAGCACAAATATCATCGAGGATATGCGCTCGACGAAATTAATGTAGCGAGTGTTGAAAATGAAAGAAAACACGGGGTTCAAGGAACGGATCGCGCAGATGAGAAGCACTGACATTTGAGACTGCGAACTCGGTTCGCGGGGTTCAGACCGAACAAATCGCTGAAGGACGGGGAAATCCCTAACGCGTAACCCACCTAATCCCTTTCCATTCCCGCCTTCCGAACGCGGCGCAGGCTCTCACGTTCCACTTCATCAATATCCAGTTTACCCGCAATCAATCCGACGTCCTCCAACCCGCCCACCCTTACCGTAAAAAAGAAAATTCCGCTGATATCGCCGGTGCTTAACGTAATTATTTGCTTATTATCAAGACCTTGTCCCAATTCTATTCCAGCTGACCGAATTTAACTTTTCTTCGATAAATAAATTGATAATATTCTCGAAAAAAAAAAAAAACAAAAAAAAACCAATTTTCCTCTCGAGCAAATGATAATGAGCTTTTCTAAATATTTGTGAATATTACTCGTAATATTTATAAATATTTATTTCAATACTACTATTAAAAACATATTCTTTGTTCGAGATAACCGTTACTCAAAAGGCAAAAAAAATAAATTGCTTTTCTCCGCAGTATAAGTAACACTTTACAGAGAAAGATGCATGCCGAGATCCGCTTTATCAACACACACGCAAAATAATTATGTTCCGCCAAATAGCGCGATCTCGCTCTCAACTTGAGCGAACCTGCACTAACCTGTCGACGCGCCGATCTACCATCTTTTACTTACGAATGCTCGACTTACTTGAACGTTGAAAGTGACGCTTCTGCCTCGCGCTGCCGCCAGGATCGAGCGACGACCTGCAGAGACCGTTGACGATGCTGGACATCGGCGACGCTTCGACCGTCGTTTCCTCGCCGAGTGTCCCGGCCGATCTCTCGTCCATCTCGGCGATGTCCGTCAGCGACATTACTTTGCGACGACGCGACGACTTGTCGTCCCTTGATCACGTACGCGCACTACGTATCGGCGATGCGAGTCGATCGCGCGGAGCACGAATGAAACACTATTCGTCCCAATTCGACACTTTGAACGAGCGTTCGCGACGTTTCCGTCCGACGAACGGCCGCGACAGCCTCTTCACTCGAGGAACGATCCGTCCGATGTGCCGCTAATGAGAATCGGTGTTTCGACTAACGTTAATGGAAACGCAATCGACACTTGTCGATGGCGAGCCGACCGACCTGAAGTTGGCCGGCGGTTAAGCCCTGAACACCGGCGCGAAAGGCGCCGGTGACACCTCGCGTGCACTTTTTCTAAGACTCAAACGATACCACTTGACAGTCGCAAAAGAGAGATGTCGCAAAATGCATTTAATTAATTCGTACGCCCGTTTCTACCACCACGATGACGTAAAATTCAATCGACAATTAACTCAGCGGAATTGACCAATTGTATCGGCCAATTACTGAACCGAGCAACGCGATTGGTCAATACCGTTGAGTTAATCGTCGGTTAGATTTAAATCATGGTGGTGGCAAGACCGATCGTTAGACGCGTAATTTCGAGTCCCGATGTGAAGTAATAATTCACGACTCCTCTGGGAATGATCTTTCGACAAGAACTTCGATGAATGTCGCAGAAGGAGAGCAAGGGGAAAGAGAGGAACTAAATATTACGAGTCTCTAGGACGTCGCGTATCCCAGAGGTTATTGTTGTTACGATACATCTCGCGTTAGCAACACGTCACGAGAATACGTTTGCCTTTAAGCGCTGACGATATTACCGGTGCGCCTCGTAAATAAAAACACGCGCGCGTTTCCCCGTCATTGAAGCCGTACCAAGTTGATCCGGACGTCTACGCTCCCGGAAACTCGGGTGGGACTTCTCCAAGCTCGAATTGTATACAGGGTGTGCGCCACAACCCGCGACTTCGATTTCAACGACGAGAAGTCGGATGATCCCTCCCCCTCCTTAATATTTCCCCGTTGTACTATTTCGTGATGATCATATATTGATAATTAATGGTAATAACTAGTAATAATCAATAATAATAATAGCAACAATCCTCTAATGGTAAGGAGAATTTTCAGAACATCAGAACATTTTTCAAAGTGTCTCACAATTGCGATTATTTAAAGTGAGTAAACTTTATTGCATTTTTCCATCTGTAAATAAACAGAGGGAAAAATATTACTTCTTTTACTCATTTTGCATATTAATTAGATGAACAAATGAACAGAACATCGGGTCGGATCCGACCCCAACCTTACCATTAGAGGGACAATAACGATATATTGATGCCGAAGTTTCNTTTAAATTTCTGACCCGGGGGAAGGGGGGGGGGGGGGATATTTAATTAGTTGTGCCTCGAAGTAAGATTCGGTGAGAACGTCTATCGAAAATCTATCGCACGACATTCTCACTTGTTTATTCACACCCTCGACCCGAGTGTTGCGGCCGGGGCTCGATGTTATGATTAACACTGTTGATTCAGTGATTCGGTGTTACTCGGCCGCACGAATAACCTTTCATGCTGACAGGCAATTACGCATAGCTGACAGGAGTTGGCCGGGAGGAGGAGACGTCAATTGCGGGCGTTTCGGATCGCTCGTTGATCGCGAGAATAACGCACGACGCGACTCTCATTCGCGCTCATTCGTTCATTTGTACGTGAAAAGAAACGTAACGGAAAGAGGAGAGAACCGGACGTGCGTCGCCGATCGACCGTGGATCCGAGGGCCTCCTAACCGATAATAAACAACGCATCGAAAGTTTAGACGCACCTTCGCCGCTCGAGTACCGGCGTAGCCTTCCTTGGATACCGCGATACCAGTCCAGTTCCCGGTGATAAAGCGCGACGACACGAAACGACAATAAACAAACATTCGGCGAGATAATCAGAGGCGATAATTATCAGTGGGAAGTCACAAAGCACCACCGATTCATTAGCAGGTACTTCGGGAACGCGAGGAATGCACTCCCGCCGGCCCGACACTCCCGGATACAGACTGACCGTTGTGTATTTCGTTAGTCAAATGCGATAAGCGCAACGAGAGCCGCGCGCTGCCGCCAACGACGAGATGGCGCGAATTAGGGAGATTGCGCGCGCGCGCGCGCGCGCATGTGGCGCTGTGACGCGCGAATCGCAGAGGAAGGGGAATATACAGAGGCAAATAGAAAGACAAAGAGGGAAGGAGAGAGAGAGAAACAATACACTTGGGCCTCTTTTTACACGGTGGCGTATACATCCGTGCAAGGAGAAATGGTGTAAAAAAAAAAGGCGTGCCAAAATCGATTCGCAACGAAGTTAATAAAGCTTGTGTTAAAGTGACGCGAACTATACGAGAGGCAATTTAAAATATAGAAACGCATTCACTGAATCGGGCCTGACTGTTACGGATTGACGACATGAAGATGGAAATTTCTCCAATCGAGACGAAGTGAGCCAGAGAGCCGAAATTGGTTGATTTATTTGAATTCGAATCTCTAATCCGCAATTTCCTATTCCCAATAACTGGTCCGATACGAACTTGAAGCGGAACTGTTTAAGAATTAAGAATCTGTGCGACGGAGTATAAACAAATTAACAAACACGAGCAACACACAGAAATGTACGATATATATGAATGTATGTACAAATGTTTACATGAAGAGTTTGTCTTTATTTTGTACTTACCTCTGCATCATATAAATATAATTGTGTTCTATACGATTAAATTATAGAAAAGATCGGAGTAGCTTCGGTGACACTTGCAACGAATACAACGCAACATAATTAATCACACAGATATGTATACTCTATATAAAAAAAAAAAACGAAACTTTCGTATAATTTATTTATCGATTTATATGATGTAAAAATGTTATGTCACAGATCTATGAATTCATTGTTTTCGTTGTCAACGCCGTTACGATCGGAGCTACGTTACAATGCTCCCTTTTAACACGTAACACGCACAGTATTATAAATATATATTTGTGTGTAATAAATACGTAATATACTTACAATGCTGCGAACAATTTTTAATGCATAACGAAGAATCCAACAATTGTGTTACCAGAGAAACATTCCTCTTGTCATCGATATGTTGATACTGAACCAAATATTAATATCCTCGCTTGTGCGAAAAGCCTCTATATATGTATAGCTGCTCGATAACTTGCAATAAACTAACTAACGAAGAAGGCTTTACTGTTTTCACTGCGACGCTAAAAAGTGGCCATACCATGTCAGAGCATTGCAAGGAGTCGCTTTTATCGACAATTTTACATGCTAACGTTAAAGGTATCGCAGGTATCAAAATGTCGTTGCAAAATTGCTCGAAAATTGTTATAATCGTTAGAATTCGTTATATTCATTCACACAGTACATGGAGAATTTGAAGTATATATATTAACGTAAGGCAATTACGTTGCCGTCGTCCTTCGTCGCCTTCACAAGCGAGAGAGTTCAAGACGGTGCAACGTCGAAGTATAATGCACATAAAGTTTCTCTCTTTCTATAAAATTTAGAAGATTTATTGGCTTATCTACTTCAGGTAGTCAGGTAATACAATATATTAGCATGTCTCACGGTATAGCGCGTCACGATTTGCCTCGCGTAATTCCCTACGATGAGTATCTTCGTTGTTACAAAGCAAAACGCACACACAACACTCCAGCGTGGGTGCGTAATAAGATAACTTTATAAACAAATTATCCTATATGGGGCGTTAATTTTGCGGAAAATATATGCAACCGAGATACAAAGTTATTTGAAATACTGAGAACAATCTCTTCTCCTTCTTTTTCATCTATTCTACTGTGTATTCCGACCTTTGGAACTCTATTTTTTTTTTTTATTAAAATTTGTTCCTATGTAACCACCTAATAAGCGCATGAATTGTCACCTGGACTTTTCCCGTTTCTCTGGTCAAGACAAGCTCTTGACGATAAAAATTCTGAATATATAAAATATATATATATGTCGCGCGTACAATATTATATCACCTAATTTTTAAGGCATAGAGACGGGACAGAACGTTTCCGTTTTAAGATCTAAATCGCGGAATGTGAATATATATAACGTAGAAATGCATAATGTGGGGGAATGCGATTAATCCGTTCCTGATATATCTTCCGTCCGAGTGAACTTTCGCATAAATAGTCATCTCTGCCTGTCGAACAATTCCGTGGACGTGATACAATACGATGGCTTCACTCACCGCGTCTCAACGAACGATCGCGCGAAATGCCAAGAGAAAAATATTCTTTTTCTCTCTCTCTCTCTCTCGCTTTCTCTCTCTCTCTCTTTCTCTCTCTCTCTACGAACTTTCACAAGCTTCATTCGATCACATGATTAGGCCTCTGTAGGGATTTCGGGGACATGATGTAACCGCTTTTCACTACATTCACGACGAGATTTTTCGGTTTCGGCGGTAACGGCGGAGGTTTCGGTAATTTCGCGCGAGACGCGTCCGTACTGTAACATCCTGAGTGTAAGGCCTTCGATTGGGGATTCGTACCGTTCTCTACGACCGTCTGATCTCCGTCCACTAACGTTCTGTCAGCGTCTAAGGTGAACGAGCTGTCGAGGCACTTACTCAGAGGCTCCGTAATATTAACCAGGGCCGAGAAACGTTCATTCACACCACCTCCGTTCGTCACGTGCGCGGCGAGATACTCGTGTCCGCCGCTGCAGCTTTGTTGCTTATCCTCGTTAGAATCGTAAAACTTGGTGGTGCCCTCGCAATTGGCCGACACCGCTCGGCTTCTTCGCATCTTGTTACAATCCGACGGTTTCCCATTCTCCTTGTTCTGATCAGTAATTTCATAGCTTTAAGAGTCGAAACGTATATGATATAGAGATCTTAAGAATTTTGTGTTCTGTGCACACGCAACACGCTTTCTACTGCTACTAACTTCCAGTTTATGTCGGGATGAATCAAACCATCACACATAATATACGTGTAATTTGTACCTTCAAAAAATCCGGTAGCTCGAAATTGATTTCGGTTCCTCTCTGGTCCTCCAGTCTGGATCTTTGTGCTCTTTTTAGCCCCTCGTATAAATCTGCGGGAGAGGAGTAATCATGATCCTTAAATTTATCTATTGTCTTAATAAGTTTCGCATATAGTTCCAGATTGGTTTGCACTTATGAGATTTAATTAATTCGATTCGTCAAATTCGTTACATAAAGCCACAAGAGAAAAAAGTGATCGTTCTTACCGTCTCCGTCGAATCTGCCTGGAAGCTGCAATTTCACACCGTTACGCCACTTTGCGATAAGCGGAGGCTGAGACTTGACAGGCGCTCCTTCGTGTATACAGTCATTCGTGTTACCTTTCTCACTGGTATTGCAACATTTAGATTTTGCCTTGAATCAACGGAAATAGAGAGTAAGTGAATTGTAGTTTTAAAGGCTCGGAAAAAATCCGGTTTTTCCTTTTCAAATTTTTTCCCGCGACTTTTTCGCTCTCTTTTCGCGAATGAGTGAAATATTCGACAAAAAAACTCGGATTTTGTCATTTTTCCACGGATTTTTTGGTTTTTTTCTTTTCATAGTAAAAATTAAATTTATAAGAACATGTATCCAATATATGTGCAGACGTGCCTTACCTTTTTCTTTCCGTGGATCGTTGAGTCTCGAAGGAAAAATTTACTGGACAATATGGAGGATCCCTCCGAACGTTGATCATCAGACTGAACGAAATAAAATTTAACGATGATATATTAAAAATAATTTGGTATACGACAGAAAATTATACATATATATTATCATCATTTTAATATCATTTTATCTTACCTTACATGACCCTTCGCTATACTGGTATTTATTCCTACTCTTCCCAACCAAGAGCTCTTCGAACACTTTGTTAGTGATTTCATCCAAAGTTGGTTGCGCATGTGGTAATTCGTCCAGATACTTGGCAGTATGCAACTCCCGTTGAAAATCTATAAGAATAACATTTAAATTAAATTACGATCTTATCACTTTGTATCTATGATTTCTTTTTTATTGATTTGCACGAGACGACTAACCTTCTTCATTCGCCATTACGATGAGTCGTGTAGGGGCACCGATGGCCATAATATCCATAGGAACACAATGGCCTTCGCTCCAAATACTAATTAAATCTAAATTGAAACCGTACTTATTTAGAAGAGGCCTCAGCACATCCTTCAGCGTTTTACCCTTGTGAGCGATAACGCTTATTATTCTTCGCGAAGGCAGTTCCACCTTCAGCACCTTCGTGAGAACGACCTCCACCTCTTGGCTTGCTAATACTGATGAAGAACATTTCGTGTCTACCATCTGCAAACAAGAACAGCACACTGTGTATTATATAATTATTATATTAGCACATTAGAATATCGGTGTATTACCATTAAATGATAGAAAGAGTAATTCAGGTTAAAGAGAGTGAATTACGATGTAAGTAGTGTAAGCAGGTATTCAGATAGCAAATAATATTCCTGACTTAAGATGCAAGTATATGAGGCGAGGAAAAGGCGATTTTAATTTCTTCCTACACCAGATTACGTAAGATGGACGAAAGATTGAGCACCCACTGCAACTCGTCATATTCAGATGCATCTCTACGACATTCGATCAATTCCATTCTCTCTCTCTCTCTCAGCATGCATTCTCTCAGCTAGTTCGAAAAGTAAAAGACAGCACAAACCTCATCTGTCGCTAGTATCAGAACATCATAGTTAGTGTATCGCAGGGCTCTCTTATCAAGGAGACGGGTAACCACGTCTTTAATGCTGTCGGTTTGGCTAGTTGTCACTACCGTAGTGGACCCATCGGGCAATATTACTCGACACAATCCCGTGCATTTGCTGCGAGCTTCTTTCTTTTCGTTCGTTTGTCCTTCGTAGGACGATACGGACTACAAGCACACGCGCACACACTCGTTCAAATATATACACACAAGTTGACATGTGCATTTAGTAAGATTTGTACAATCTGATAAAAGAGATCGTCAACTATCGTTTCACAATTATAAATAGAGATCCCAATATTATTCTACTAGAAATATATCATGCCAGAAAAATTCAATGTGACCAAGAAGATTCGGTAAAACGGAATGGCATAATGTAATAAAACACTATGCAATATGTATGCTTTCCATTTTAAGTGATGAAAAATTAAACATTAGGCTTTTCGATAATTTGATATTAGACTTGTCAATTTTTCCCAAGAGACTCATCTTTAAACGTTTATATTCTAAACAAGAGATGCATGAAAAAGCCGAAAAAGGTTCGTAGCAAGGAATCGGATCTACTCTACGACAGCTAATTCATAGTTTATGGATTAATACAATGTATGTTCTACTCTTTCACCTGGTTATTGTACAACAACAGTAACAATCTTCTCAAAAATATGTAAGTCTGATCATCTACAATACCACAGATTTCGTAGGCACACATCAACACTCATCGATAACTCAAAACATAATAAGAAAATATTGATCGTAGAAATTTACTCTTGAAAAGATAGAGGAAATTTTATTAATGCCTGGAGCAAACTCTAGTAATTAGTCAAACTAAATGTCTTCATAAATATATGCGTAGCTGCAATGATGCTTACGTGTTTGTTAAAAGACTGCCGCAGTGCCAAATCCCATGACGCTAACGATGATCGACTACTGGATATCGACACGCTGTCTTCATTATTGTTGCCTTCCGTTTCTCTTTTAATAGCTGTAAAGCTCTTATATATAGTCTCACTTCGACTGGGGACTTTGTTGTACTCGGTCTCACCGCGATCTTTCGATTTAGATCTGACAGTACGAAGTAAAGCATCATATATATTGCATAGTCAAATTAAATGTGTTTTGTTCTCCTTATATATATTTTAAAATACATTCTTAAGCGAGCACAAGCATGGGAGCGGCTCAACTGTCAACAATAGTGAGGAAAATGAGATATATTATTGAGAGATAAGTTTAAATTATTGAAGTTTTGCATTAAAAACCTAGTAGAAGCTAGTTATTGAACGTTTCTTGTGACCGATTTTTGGAAGGGCTCGAATCGAGTAAGCAAAAAATGAGAAAAGTAAATTATTTATTTAAAAATGAGAAAAAGTGAGATGCTTTGAAAAAGTGAGGATAAGAGAGGAAAAGTGTGGCGCTCCCATGTCTGCGACACACAAACATATACATACACACATATGCACACACAAGCTCATAAATACCTGTTCTTTCTGTTCCAGGGAAGAATCGACTTTCGACAACGATCTTCCGCATCAGAGTGGCTTTTCTTCAACTTTACACTAGGCGAACTCGTAAGATGTAGATCACAGTCTTCCGTATTAACTATGGCGGTGCCTGCCTCCAAGCAAGCACGATAAAGTTCCGATCGCAGGAATCTCGGGTAACTGTCGAATTTCATCAAGTTGAACACTTGCTTCTGGGCCTGAAACGACAATACAAATTAGTTAAATTACAATTATGCATCGATTCAATTTTAAAATATATCGTACACCCGCGAGAACATTCATTATCAAATCACTATGAACGAGCAGTATTTGAGAAGCTTCGAGAATGCAACCATGGTAATTGATGCTTTCCTTTAGAAATGCGTTTCAAATAATTTAACTTGACGTATTTAACACATATGCGTGATACGTACTTGCAAAAATAGATCCGCGGGTGCTTCGTCGAGTAACTCCTGGGTAATCTGCCCCGATGCATGACTGTCAACGTTCACTGGCTCGGCGGCTGTACTCGACAAATGACGCTGGTATATTTGACAAGCTAGTCGACGCCGCGTAGGAACGTCTTTAGTATCTTTGTATCTCTCACAAGCAGCCCAAAAATATATGTTTTCATGACTAAACTCCTTCTTGAGAAACTCCTTGAATAAGGGAACAACAATGCGCGTTTATATATGGTCGTTTAATATTTATATAATACGTATAATAATATTAAACACACGTATAAATATCATATATACGCGTTATATGTATGATTATACGTAATCTTTATAAACTATTTAAAAATGATATGAAAAAAAAAAAAAATATATATATATATATATATATATATATATATTATACATACGCATAATTCAATCGATATAAAAGAGACTGTGTAAAACTACTTACAGCGAATGTTTGCAAGCCCTTTGGATCGTCCAAGAGTTTTTCGAAGCCATTCGCCCACATGTGTACTCCTTTGCAGTCATTATTTTTGTCGCAAGACTCCGTACTGCCATACTGCAGCAAACATGTTCGATTGATTAGATCGAGAAGAAAATATGTTTCCATGACTATTTCAAGGTGAATAAATGCATTGCTGCGGATAAGTTTCACGTGAAAAATAAATGAGACAAACTTATCTTAAGTGTGTGTTTAAATTTATAAATTCAATTTTTCATTTGTGACACAAGCAACGTATTCATTATGTACAGTCGCCGTCATGTATACTATACGGTCAGTCACAAGATCGCGACACTTTCTTTTCCGACGAGTTACACAACGCATCTCGTATCCGACAGGAAAGTTGTGTCTCCTGAGAATGACTAAAGAACAAATTTTTCTATTGGATACAAGATGCATGCTAAATCTCACGAAAAAGAAAGTTCTATTCTGCCGCTCACACTAGATTGAAAATTATGCACATTCGAGTCTAAATTAAAAAAAAAAAAAAAGTAGTGAAAAATTAAATCAAGATATATTTCATATTTTCATACATAAGCAAGAATATTATAATCTTGGGAGATTTTTCGTCTCCATTTGATTGAATTTGTATCGACGCAAGTGTCACTCGAGTTTAATAAAGACTAAAAATCACCTAAGAATATTATAATAATCTTGCTATTATTATATGTGAGAACACCTATCATCATTGATTTAAGACTACTTCTCCTGTGTACGACGATGCAGTTATCTGTCGACCGATTTGTAACACTAAGCCAAGTCTGGTCAAACGATCCCGATATTTACTTCTGCGCATTCCGACCTCGGAGAACCTTTGCAATTCAACACCTGCCGCGCGCGCAACAACAGGTGCGCGGCGCTATGAGAAAACACGCTTTCTTGGATGGCTCACCTTTCGCGTGCTCCGTTTTCCCATCCTCTTTCCCCATATCCTCCCGGCTAACGCGCAATATATCACCGTCCCACGCGCGATTGTATCTTTTCACAATCAATACAATATTATTATGTAAGTGGAGAAGTGAACTTGAAGGCAATTAGCATCAGCGAGATGCCAGGAACGATCGGAGATAACGGCCCGCATTTTGAACTCTCTTTCATCGCACATCGAAGAAAAAGAGATTTCCCGGAATTCATCAGAGTAAACAAAGCGAACGCAGGTTTGTGGTCGAAGAAAACAGAATTTCCGGCCTCGTAGGAACCAGAAATTCTGTTCTCTTCGAAACGCACCCCGGCTCGTTCGCTGTCTGGTAAATTTAACCCGGCTTTTTTTCCGTGCGAAAAGTGCCTCGAGCGCGGCCAATCGGGTGGTTCGTAATCCACTTTTAGCTTAATCCACTCTTATCGATAAAAAAGAGAGCGGTGTCTCCGTCAACAGCGCGCAGGAAGTCGAAGACGTGCATCAGCCGGTTCGAGGAATACGGCTTGAAGATAAATATGACTCGTCGCCCTATGAGCTCACGAGCTGCCTGCGAGCTCGTAATTACCGATAATTAAGGGAAGGTCTTGCGTCACGGCAACAGCACCCACCCACACCCACCGTCGAAAGTGCGCCAATCAAAGTGAACAATTAAACGAGGCTAATTCAGAGTATCGATCAATGAGAGAGAGAGAAAGAGAGAGATCGAATAAAAATCTGTGAATTAAATTCTTCGTTTCCCACAAGGGGGAGAGGGAGGGAGGGGGACGACCTAACCGGCTTCATCCTACGTTGGCGTCTGATTCACAACAAGCCGTTCATTGGGAGGCGCGCGTACTCGAATTGGATTGACATCGACCTCACTTCTGTTCGCTTTACTGCACGGTCGTCTAATAACCGCGGTCGACCGAGACTTTCCTCCTTGTGGAAGGCGCGCGCGCGCGCACAGATCCGCTCCGAAATCGCCGCCAGCGGGGGATCGGCAACGACGGTACCAACGACGACCCGGTTGTGTTCTACGTACCGATTTTACTTCCATGTTACGATTCGCGCGGTCGTTCGTTCTCTCACAGCAGCGGTGTCATTTATCAGCCACTCGGGACGCGCGCCTGTGCGCGTGTGTTCGCATACTTCGACGCGGAATAGGCAAAGTCGCGCGAACGAGGAGGAGGAGGAGGAGGCAAGGACGACGAGGAGTACAACGACGAAGAAGCCGACGATGACGACTGCAAGAGCTAAACGGGCGACGATTCGCTCGGGTAACGAGGACTCCGCCCAACACGACGGCCGGCGGACATCGCCGTTGCTTCGCGAGGACGCGCGGGATCGCTGCTGACAGAATCGAGAATGCGACGTTACGCGCGCGCGCGCGCGCACCGATCTGTTCTACGAGCTGCTGCCGATGACGACGACGAATGGTCTAATCGCGCCGGCCGTAATCATCGCGATGCGCTCAGGCACACACAACGTGCGCCTCTCGCACAGTCACTACTACCGCGTTCTCGCCAGGCTAGGCCACTTTACGTCGAACAAGGCCCACTTCCCTCCCTCCCCCCTCTCGCCTCGCCTCCACCTCCTCCTCCTCCCGCCGTCCTTCTCCCTCGCTCGCGCGCGACTGATTCATTCTCATCGCCGACCCTACTTCCCCCTGCCCGCGCCTCTTCCGCTCCCACCGTCACCAGCACTAACCCCGCGCACTACCACCATCCACCGGCGCGTCACGTATCGTCACACGATGGCCTTTCCCTCTCTGTCTCCCCCCAGTGGCTCCTCGTCACTCAACCTCGTTTTAACATCTACGCAGGGCCGCACGCGGAGTTGCAGAGCGGCGCGAGACGGACAGCTGATCTCTCTCTCTCTCTCTCTCTCTCTCTCTCTCTCTCTCTCTCTCTCTCTCCTCGGGTCAGGCCGTCCCGTGGACGACGATGCGAAACGGAGAGGAATTTTTCGTCCGCAGGGTTACGGAAATAACCTGTTTCTTCCCCTCCCTCCCCCCACCCCTATTTTCCGCGGTTTCCTTCTCGGCGTTTCCTATCTACTTCGCGGCAAGAAAATTAATGCGACGGGCTTTAATTGGATGGAACACGTGGATTTTTTGGGATGCAACACCGAAGAAGTGCGCGCGGAAATAGGGAAAAACGGGCTTTTCCCGAAACTTGAAAATTATGAAGCGGTCGGAACGATCGTGAGAAATTCGCACATTTATGTCTAAGACGCTACGTTCCGGAATTCACGGCCAATGCTGAAAGTCTATGGTTCACGTTGCATGCAGATCATCAGCGCTAGCGGTGAATATTGAAACGCGGCCTAAACGATTAGAACTCGCTACTGCAAGCACTTGTTTCTTCGGATAAAAAATTGTCGAGCAGCATCAATATCATCGATAAGTTGTGTTATCGCCAATCATCACATAATCATGCGCACATGTGTACACAATATTCATACCAATCCGTTCCGATCTCAACTTACTTCGGGACACATTTTACAGAAAAAGAAAACAAAAAGATAGGGAATTCTAACATTAAACTTACGGACTTTTATGGATTCGTTATAATTGCGCTTAAACAGTATGTATAATTACTATATATAATTTTGTCAAAACGGGACAAGTACTTCGAGTGGTGAATCCTAACCGTTTTAGAAACACACGTACGAATTTCGAAGGATCGTTCCAATTGGTCGCTCCCCGCCTTTCCCGTCCCGCTTTTTCGTCGTCCACGGCACCCTCGGCCTGCGCGAATGGGCGGTAACGAGGGAGGCAACAGTGAGTATCCGTGTGCGTCTTGGCGTCTCTCGCATCCGCTCCTGCGCGTCTATCATCGTAAGATCTATTCACGCGCACCTAAGCGGTACACGCGGTGCGCGAACCTCAGCTCTCTCGCACGGTAACGTCCTTTTTAATAACGCTCCGGACGTTACCGCGCGCGCTCGCGGCGTAGTCGTCGTCGTCCGAGGAGGAGGAGGCTATTTTCCGCCCCGCTATTGTCGGTGGTGCGATTTAAGCGAGAGTTCCGCGGCTCGAACGCGCGCACCGATATAGTCGTAAAGCGACAGTTGCGAATTAAACTTCAACGTGCTTCTACAATCCCCTCGTTAGCATCCACGAAAGTAGCGATCTTCCTGTTCTCTTACTTTCCTGCCGAGTCTGAAAGAAGATTTCACGTGTGAGGCCACACACACTCGCGAGAATTGTCGCGTGAATAGTCGCGAGAATATTCGCGAGAATGTACAAAATTTGAAAGGGATGGGGG